GTTATAGGGCAGGGGAATGCACCAGAAAGACAGAGAGAGACAGAGAGACAGAAAGCGAGAAATCACCCCCCAGGGGGATGGCCACGCCACAGTCCTGTCTCCCCCATTCTCCTCTAGGAATCTTGGACACACACACACATACACACACACACACACACACACACACACACAGGCCTGGCGTGAGTTTAAGCCATCGGGTCTGGGATTCGAACTGTGGTCAACAACCTGGGAGTCCAGCGACATAGCCATTATGCTAACTGCTGGTCAGTCAGGGCCCCTTCTTGATTCATTGTATCTAACCTCTAGAGCCAAGAGAAAACATGGCTTATCCGTGACCAGGCATTCTTGCTATCAGCCACCTGTCTGCTTCCACCTGTTTATGCCCTTCAATTTCTACATTGTATCCCCTTCTGGAACATTTTTAGAGGGCAGGACATATCCACTATAGTTGCCTGGCCTTTGGGACCCTCTTTAGCTGACTCAGTTGAGAACCCTTCCAATATGCTCCAGTTCTGGTAAGATACAAAGTGGCCTATTGGAAAGACACTTAATCCATATTAGATTTCTAAGCCAGTTTTCACTTAGCCACCATTCTGTATTTGAAAGATTAGTGTTCCACTAGTAAGAAATAACCTTTTATTTGTCTGGTATGTCTAAAGTGGTAACATAATTTTGTTTAAACTTAGTTCAACTTGATTTACTTAAAAAAAGTCTGTAAATTGTAAGGTCAAATCGATCTTGGACATTGAAATTGTAGAAGAATTAGAAATAGGTGAGGTAGATACAGAGACCCTATAGGCCTTCAAAATAAAAACAAAATAAGATAAAATAAAATAAAAGGACTTTTAATTTAATTTTTTTTTTTTTTTGTGGAAGATGGAAGAAATGAGTTAATTCAGGCAACCTGTAAGAACTGATTGAAACACCAATGGCCACAGTAAACTGCAAGGAAGTGTTTATGTTGGAGCCTCAGTTTCTCTGACTCCCTGAAAGCTGAGAATGAACAGGAATGACAGAACAAGAGCTAAAACTCCAGGGGCTGGAACAAGAACACCAAAAGAAACAGACAGGAATGAGTTTGATTCCAATGCAACAACACAGACAATATAATTGTCAAGGAAGTGACAAAATATTTTCCATATTTGCAAGTCTTTTCTGCTCTCTCACTTACATTTAACTAAACACAAATTATGGACATTTCAGAAGCCATTTAAAGCTGAGGTGTGTCCTGGCATGTTCAGGGAAGCTATGCTCTAAACTCCATCATCCTTCAGGAGAGAAGGATATGCCACATTCCATCTCCTCCATTCTCCTCCCAGAATTGTGAGCATGCATGTACATGTGCCCGGCCTGAGTTTTAAGCTACTGGATCTGGGACTTGAACTGTGGTTGGCCATGAGGGAATCCAGCAATGTAACCACTACACCATCTGCTGGCTCCTGAATTGCCTTTATTAAAATACAAATATATCTATATGTGTAGCTCTGGGGGATAGGACTGTGGATATTTATTTTGTGTTTTAAATACAGCATATATTGATGGTTCTGTTGTTAGTATTGTTATTTTCTTAGGTTGAGCATATATTACTTTAACTGAGGCAAAAGATATTTCCTTCTAAACAGGGTGAAATGGAAGAACCACCATTAAGATGAGTATAATGACTAGTTCTTATTGTTTTAGTTTTCTGTCTTGGAACAAAATAATTGCAGAAAGGCTGGCAACTTCTCTGAGTGTGCATGTAAATGTTTATACTATAGTCCATCCCCAAGCATTTATTAGAGCTTTGTATGACCCAGGACCTGGGAAAGAGTCACACCATGATTGTCTCTCTCAGAAGCTCATGTCTAGGTCAGAGATAAAGCCATGATTCTGACACAGCATTACTGCAAAGGAGAGTTGCCTTCATAGGCATTACTCCTTTTTTTGTTTTGGAGAGGTTTTTTTAGGGCACCTGTGCTCGACAGAGAGACAGAGAGAGACAGAGAGATAGAAAGTAAGAAATAATCCCCTCTTCTCCATTCTCCACTTGGGATCTTGGGCATGCACGCACATGCACCTGGTGTGAGTTTAAGCCACTGGGTTCGGGACTCAAACCATGGTCGATTACATGGGAGTCTAGCGACATGGCCATTATGCCAGCTGCTGGTCCCTGATAGGCATTACTCTTGATACGCATTGCAGGAATGATTTTTTTTCTTCTTTAATTTATTTAAGTCTTCTGTCTTACTGACTGCCCAACTAACAGTAGCTTGACAGGTTCAGTTGTCATTTTTTTTTTTTTTTTTTTTTTTTTATAGTGTGTGTGTACTGGCTGGAGAGAAGTGAGACGAAAAGCAAGAAATCACCCCCTGGGTGATAGCCATACCAAAGATCCCTTCTCCTCCCTTCTCTCAGGATCCTGGGTACACATGCACACATGCCTTGTTTAAGTTTCAAGCTGGCGGGTCTAGTACTTGAACCGTAGTCAGCCATGCAGGAACCCAGGGCCTTAACCATTACACCACCTGCTGGCTCCAGTTCCAATTGCCTTATATTTTAATAAACCAGATAACAGAGAGCCTTGAATTGGTTCAATTATCAGAGATGTACATTATTAGTCCATTGGATTTTTTTTCCCCAAATGTCACTGGGATTAAAATAACAGGAAACCGGAGATGAAGCATTAGAAAGGGTAGAACTTGGCAGGTGCCGATGCCTATTTGCTTCAGAGGACATCCTGGATGCAATGGTTATTTAAGAGGGTGGGGGAAGGGCACCAGAAATATCAGGGCCAAGCAAACCGGACAGAAACAGCAACACCGAGAGTCTTGCTAGTTAATTTTCTGCCTAGAAGAATGGTAACTTCTCGGTTTAAAATAAATGAAAATGTTCTATTATACGTCTTAATGTAACATGAGAGTAAAATAGCATCTTCATGCACACACCTTAGAGGCTGCTTATAGCCAAAAGGTTCTGTTTAATAAGAACAGTTACGTTAATTCTAAGTGTATTTAAATAGGTACAGTTTATGCAGAACTATTCTTGCTGTTTTGGAGCCTCTTACCAGATAGAAGCTTGAAGAATCGCATTTTCCTGCATGTCATATCACTCACGAAAAGAACACATGCTATTACTTAAGGCAGAAGTCCTTAAAAACACTCCCTCTGACTTTTGCTGAAGCCACTTCCATAAATATTTCAACACCCGTTTGCTCTTTGTTTTCAGTACTTTCAGTGAAAATGGGAGATATGTAGGAAGAACCTTTCTGCTAGAAGGTTTCTCAGGGCCTTTCATTAGTCTCTATCAGACTTCACTGAAGAACCGTTTACTGGAGAATTCATTTCAGCTAGGAGGGGAATCTTCTCTTGGGGGCTTGAGCACAGAATTACAAAGACCATAGGACAAAGCTTTCATTTTCATTAGCAATTTGGTTCAAACTTAAATTAAAAAAAAATAAGGACAAACAAATTTTAATCTGTAGACCTGATTATCTTAAGTTCTAAAGTAGGCTACGCAACAACTGTTGTATTCTCCTGGTTTTTGTGGAATGAAGCCAAACATATGGCAAACTATACTATTACAGAGGGATTTGGATGGATGGCTTCCTCCACTGTGTATTATTTGCAATCTCAACACCACTGGCCTACAGCAGGAAAACAGCTGCTGAGGGAAGCGAGACAGGAATCTCTCCCTGCGCTTGTGCATTTCATGCATACGCCTGGGTGGCTACTCAAAACCAGGATTTTACACCGAAAGTCAAAGGGTTAAAAAAAAGGTAAAACTTGATTAGTGGTTTGCTGCTAGGAAGAATATTTTGCCTTCCTTCCCCATAAGCTGCAAAGGCCCAGTGAAATGTGTGAGTAGTGATAGGTGCCCCTGCCTTACCACACAGAATCCAGAGCCGTCAGAGCACTCGTGGGAATTGCCATTACAGTCACAGGGCGAACATTCTCCTGACGGGGTACGGAAGAATCCAGTGCCACAGTTCTGTGAACAGACACATTAAACACATGTTGACTATGGAAAAAACCAAGGTCGATGTTTCCTGAGAGGAATGAGAGGTGATTATTAAGCTATCTAAATATTTCTTTATGAACCATACTAAAATGAGACAGGTATTTAGGCCACCAGTCAGTGACTGATGATGCATATACAATCTTCTTCACTGAATCATTTTTTTTCCCTCTTTTTTTTGCTTTTCATCGGAACAGGAATCCCTGTCCACCATTATAAGAAAGAATAAGAAGTTTTTCGCTAACAGTAGGGAGAAAGAAATTTGCTAATGTTTTCTTCCAAGCCCAAACCGAACAAAATACAACTGAATTTTAGTCAGGGTGGGGAATTGCATTATGCACTCTCTAAACAGAGGTTTCTGGTTTCAGAAATTGGCTAGGTTCTAACACCTTAGAGCGGTGAGCTTTCGTAAATGTGTTTTTTTTTTTTTTTAATTCTACACATGAATAGAAAATTATCTGTTGAGGTTAATGTAAGCTCTTTGACTTGATTGACACGTAGTGCATATACACTTTGAAAAAACATATTGTGTTGAGGCCAGCAGGTGGCGTGGTGGTCATGGGCGCTGGACTCCCACATGGCCAACCGTGGTTTGAGTCCCAGATCTAGCTGTTTGCTTTCTCACTTTCCCTTTCTCTCTCTCTCACTCTGTCTCAATCTGGTCAAATTAAAATAAATAAGTATATAAATAAAATTAAATAATTCTTAAAAATATTGTCTTCTGTAAAGATGTACAATGACTAAATGTAGATAAAATCAATTCTACTTCTTCAAAGCTAATATCTTAAAGAGAAGAGAAGGAAGTTAATGAGTTTTTACACTTGCCAGGCCCCATGTGGGTGCTGTTCATTTATTTCATTTATGCTCACAGCTCTGTAAGGAGCACATTACTTTTCCTCATTCTAGTAATGACTTAATGGGGCCCAGAGATGCTTAGTGGCTTGTGGGGATGTTAAGTCACCTGCAATGTAGTGGTTACTCTGCACAATAATGAACTGCCCTCCCCAGATCTCACTAGTGTCGAGAAACATTATGATATTATTCCTGGTTTGTGTGATTGGGCTTATAGGTATGTATTTGTTTTTTTGAAATGCCTCAATGATGCAGGGAAGAAATGGCACTGTAGGAAGTCCACTCCCTGTTCACCAGACAAACTTAAAGCCAATGAATTACGGACAGATAAAGATCGGTTTGTTTCCACAGACTTACAGAGTAGGAGCGTTTATACCACCTTCCTACCCCCTCCACCCCATTGACTCATTGTAGTTTGTATTACCCTGGCTACCAGGAAATTTTTCATTATATCTGGCTGAAGTCCTTCTGACTGCTATGCAAACCTATTTCCTCTTCATTTATTTTTTCCTCTGTAAAGAAAAAAAAAAAAACACGAGATAGCATTCACAATATTCAAAACACTACCAGGGGCAGCAGGTGGCATGGTGGTTAAAGCACTGGAATCCCACATGGCTGACCACAGTGAAAGCTGAATGATGATCTTTTGATAAGTTAAATAGTGTCTGTGTTTTCTTTTGGAAAATTCTTCAGAATTTACTAAAAAAACCCTGATGTGTATGCATAAATATGTGTGCATGAGCAAGAGAAGAAATGTTTTAGAGCCACATTGAGTCCTCTGTCCCAAATGAGAAGATGGTCCTACAGCTGGTGACTGTAAAAACACATGGCTGGATGATCTTAGAGAGGAATCAGAAGATTCATAACGTCTGGGATAGTGCCATGGCTTTCAAAAAAATAATGTTTTAATAATGATGACAATGATGAGGATGATAATTATAGTTACTATCAATGTCATATAAATTTGTAAGAGGGTGTATCCAAATATTTTTCCCCAAAGGATACATGTGCTTTCTAGAGAGAGAGAGACAGAGACAGAGAGACAAGAGAGTACCCCCAGTGAGATGTGGCCATGCCACAATCCCTTCTTCTCCATTTTTCCATCCTGTAGGGAATTTTGGGCATGTCAAATTTTCTTTCACCCACTATAACACGCTGTCCCTCATAAATAAATAAGTAATCAGATAAGTAAATAAATAAGCTCATTTACATATTTAATCAAACCTTTAATTAATTAAACATGAGTATTTTCCATGTTTAAGTAACTGAATCATTCACATAACATAATTCTCTCCTTTAACTTATAACAGCCCTATGAGGTGGGTTTTCTTTTCTTCTGTTACGTTTGATTTACAGATGAGGACTCTGTGGCTTAAAGAGATTTGTTAACCAGATCAAGTAACACATGAAAAATGATGGGCCCTAGACTTAGATCCTTTATTTTTTTCCTCATTTAAGCTCTCAGTCCTCTGGTGTACTCTTATTATATTCAATCAAAGTTTTCTTGCTGGGCATTTAGTTATTTCCAAACTTTGGCTGTTTGAACATTCTAATGCAGGCTGAAATGGATAAAAATGTCAAATATATCTTTTTAAGCCCAGAAAAAAAACCTTTAAAAATAGGCACAGTGCTGAATAATATTTAGTTATTGGGTCACCTGGTGGGATGGTGGTTAGGGTGGCTAGATTCCACATGGCTGATGGCAGTTCGTATCCTAGAACTGGGGGTTTGGAAATACGCTGGGTGCATGTGTGTGCATGCTCAAAATTCCGAAGAGGGGGGAGATGAAGGAGAGGAGATTGTGGAGTGACCGTTCCCCATGGAAAGTGCTTTCTCACTTTCCTTCTCTTTCACTCTCTTTTTCCAGTGAGTGCTCAGGCCCTCTGTCAAATAAAAAGAATATATATATATATAGTTGTTAATACGAAAATCATTGAATGGGAATATTTACTTTTTGAACAATTTATTTTATCCAAGTTGTTATTTTGACCAATGACTTTCCACTGAAGTCTGTAGACATTTTATAGCTCTCCTTTATTAAGCAGCTCTATAATTCCAGCTTGCCTCTTGCTATACCATTAAGATTGAATTAACCAATACCAGATACTTCTGCCTGTGAAGAATAGCAATAAAAATTGTAGCTTGCCTACTTGGTTATGATTAGTGTGAAATCTGGTTTGGAGTAAAAATCAATATATGTATACTTGCCTAATTTTACATTTATAGAAACTAGAACTAGGTAGAACTTTAAGAGGAAGTCATGTGGTGTATCCATTTTTAAAGAAACTGGGGCTGACAACATATGCTATTGTTGCAGAAAGCATTATTTCCAGAGGTCCACCATGAAATCATAGTATTAACTCCTTCAGAAGATATAGAGAATTAAGAGTGTTTTTAAACAAAGAAGATAATGTTTATGTAACTTAATTGTATCCTCATTCAAAGAAGTACCCTTGGGAACATTAGACTCAAGCTAATAATATTGTCAATGTACAGAACATTTTTTGAATTTTCTTAAAATTTCAAGATCATGTTCTTTTGGAGGATCATCCAGTCTGCATCCTTGGGGCATGACAGATTTCTGAAAGTTGTTCAGAGTTATTAAAGTGAGTGCCAAGCTAAAAAGTAAAATTTTAGGTTAACCACTTCTACAAAGATCTCACTGCATTTCCCAAATATTGTCACAGAGAGGCTAATTAATTGACTACAAGCTACTACTTTTGTATAGATTCTGAGTCATTGAGTGCTTCAGAATTTTTGTTGAAAAGCTTGATTGACTCAAGCTTGAATGCTCTAATAGCATTCTCTAGGAATCTAAGATCTCCAATCTCTCATTAAACATGTCAGCAATAGCAAAAATTGATGAGATTTAGAGAGATGCGAGGGTGTGAGATATATCTTGAGGTCTCTCAGTAAGTGCTTACATTCCATACAGAATCAGACTCTAATCTCCAGCTCTAACAAATGACAATGAATTAATTATTTAAAAATCTGATCACAAAGAACACACTCTGACCCTGGTGCTTATTCTGACAGGATCTGATCTGGAATTGGAATAGATATTCACATTGTGTCTTCAACTAAGGATCTGTTAGGTTGTTGGGAAAGTCATGACATGTTTTTCTATGCAAAAATTTGTCATGACTTTCCCCATGACCCTACACCAACATTTTACAAACATTGTTCTCAATTTTTTTTTAAATCTTGCTTTCTGAATTCGATTGCTTAGAGTTTTATTTATTTATTTATTTATTTATTTAAAAAATAATTTGTTAGACAGCATGTGCAGTAGGCAAAGGGAGACAAAGAGAAAGAGAGAAAATGAAAAAGTACTTCCCTATGGGAGTGGTCACACCACAATCCTTTCTCCTTCATTTCTGCTTTCAGGATTTTGGGCACATATGCACATGTACCCAGAGTGATATTTTTCCAAGTCACTGGGTCCAGGACTCAAACTGCACAATTGGAAATGTGGAATCCAGTGACCTAACCACTATAGGTGCTAGAATTTTGATTCACCAACTTTTGATTTAACTCACTGAGGCTCAAAGGGGAAAGCACAAATGAAACACCTTTGAATTCACTCACTGGTGTCCAGTCATTGCTAACATCCAAATTAGTATTTTTCAAATTTAACTACTTAAATTAACATCTTTCTGCTTAGGTTTTTGTATGTACATAACGAATCTACTTTTCTCTTGTTTCCAAACAACAATGATTATAGTCCTAGTTTTATTTTAGTGAGTTCCATGATTTTTGTTTCAGTAAATGATAAAAAGTTACCTTAAGAGAGAATAAATGCTCACTTAGAAGTTAAGAGTTTTGTGCCCTTACTCAATTGTATAGGGCCTGCATAAAATTTGACCTCTATACACTTAAAACTTGGGAAGACTTAAGAATCAGATAATATTCAAGGATCTTTTAATAGGGACCAATACAATTTAATCTATTTGAAAATATCAAGTTATCTTTGCTGGCTTCCCTGGCAAAGACTTGTGAGAACATTATGAATTATAAATAAATAGGTATTTCACAAGAAATTTTTTATGTGTCTATAAAAATGAAAGTAAGATATCTAAGATGGAAAGCAGCCCTAGATTAAGCAATTGATAACATTTTGC